CAGTGGGACATACTGAGTCACCCTCCTTTGCAGTCCCCGAAGTCACTGTCCGTGGGACTCCCTGGAACACAGGCTGTGTAGTCCAGTTGCATCCAGCCTACACAGAAATTTCAGTGTACTCCCACAAACCAAGCAACACGTGCTCTGCAGTGATCTCTTGGTGACCAGGCACACTAGGAGCACTTAGGAAGCCTGTCCAATTCAGAAAAAAATTATTCCAGTTAGCACAAGAGAAACAGGGATTTGTGGCATATATATTCCGTAGCCACTTTGAAAACTCCTTCAGTTTAGAACATGGTTGTCTGACATACTCAGACTCTCTACCCTCTGTGTTATTCCATTTGTTTTTCACCAAATCACAGGGAGGCTCTTTCCCCCCACCCTGTTTTCAGACAAGCTTCCTTTGGCCTTGCAGAGTCTGACAGGTAACAGACCTCTCGTGCCACCACACGCTTCTTTTCATCCCGACTTCAACAGCCCATCACAAATTTATTTTGCTGTCTGGGACTCTCTACTCTCTCTGTCCTTCCCCTCAGGGCAAGCCTCCAAGAACCGACCAACACTCTTTCACAGTGTTTCCACACCTAATTAGCGCCTGGTTTTTCTCCTCTGGAATCTAGATAAGCAATGTTACAGTAACAAGTAGTTTCGCATAGACTAAAGCATGCATGGTATGGCTGTTTGTTACAGTGTGATGTCTCCAGTTGTCAAAGAAACATTTCTTCTCCATAAGATTAAAAATAAAACAAAACAAACCATAGCCAATATAATTAAGTACAGTCAGTCACCCTTGAAAAAAGAGAATACATGGAAAACAAATCCTGGCATCTAAATGTGAAGCTCTTAAGCAAAACTTGTCAGTGCTTCAAAAAATAAATATGAAAACCGTACCACAAAAACACGAGATGCATTATTAGTAGTATCTTTAATAACAGGAATAATATTAAAGTGCCATATTGTTTACAACACAAAATTAAAAATTTAACTTTAATCAGTCCTGTTTACCCAGCAACATTCTGATTAGCAGAGTTGATTGAACAGTGGAGGAAAGAAAACCCTCTCACAACAAGATACGCCACATAAAAGACTTCTGCACGAGTCAACAAGCATCAACAGCAGAGTTACACAGCCAGCTAAAGGATGTACCCAGGTCTCTGGCAACCCAAGACACAACTTGTGCCTCTGAAGCAGTGATTTGAATATATTTCCTTTCCTCTCCTTTGGTGCAGGGAGCCTTCCTGAATATTTGCATGGCAGGATTGACGTACACATTAGCTTGAAACAATAAAGGAGTGGGGAGGTGCAGAACTGAGTAAGAAATCCCAGGAAACCGTTAGCAATTTCTTCTTTATTATGCATATTTTGCTGCTGGAGCACATTATGCTCACTCTGCTTAGGGCAGGGTTTTTTAAGAGCACAGTATATAATGTCAACAACTAAAAATCCAGCACATCAAGCTTGATTTTCTGTCTTTTGCCTCATATTTAGCAGGGGGAGTGCCTGGCAGAGGCAAGATTTTCCAGCACAAATCTTGAAGCATACAAGACAGAAGTTTGACATTCCAAACCCTACGCCTTAATTCCTCCTAAAAAGAAAAAAAAAAAACCCTAACAGGTAGATGCACAAAACAAATGATGGCAATTCACGTACTCTGTCACACATATCTATTTCCCTTTTAGGTGCTGCCCTTCCACTGCACAGCTCAGAGCAGGCAGTGCCCTTCTCGCTGGTTACTCGGAATGAAGGGCAGCAGCCCTCCCACCGCAATTATCTGGTGGTGCCTTCCAGGCATGGAGCTGCCCAAGGCCCCTTCCTCCTGGGACACCTCCTCAGCAGGGAAGGGCTTCAAAGCTCAGCCGCATCAGTGTCTTTGAAGCATTCAGACGACATAAATACACAGCTCCTGAGGATGAGCAGTGTTAGGAAGCAAGCTGCTGCGATTAAGCTCTTACTCCAGCAAAAAAAAAAAAAATCAAATGCTGCAATCTTCCATAGCTTGATTAACCACATGCTTCATTAAAGCTTTCACTGCTGTTTAACTGAGCTGTAAATGCCAGGAAGGCAGTGGTTTCTTTGAATGAGACAGAGACAGTTCATGAATTTTTACATTTTTTCCCCTTTCCCACCCCATCCCCCCCATTTCCTTCCAACCCAAGAAAGTAAACAGGAGCATTAAGCGTAAAAGGAAGGGAACGTGGATTTAAGTTTCATGTAGGGTTTTTTAGTCAGCTCTGTCCGTGCTTTTGCACTGTGCCTTACAGTAGTTCCCAAAGCTAAAACCATGTAGTAGATGCAGACTAAGCACTTGAAACAAGTTTTACCCCTCTGTTCTCAAATCAGAGAGAGTTTTACATTAGATAAACCTGGATTTTAAAGGCAAGGGAGATAAATCTGCTAAAAGAAGCTATAGTGGTACAAACGCTTTGAGCCAACACCACTGAAGAGAGAAAGAGTTGGTACCTCACAGTTTCAGCCCTCTATTATATAAATCCTTTTCTTACCTGCAACTGAGAAGAAACAGCTGCAAATAAATGGCCTTTCAGCCGTGGTCACTTCTGTACTTCATTCTTAAGTGCTCCCAGTGCAGCAGCAACCTAAACCATCCCTGCTGGATAACCAGAGCACCGCTGCCTGCTCCTTTATGAGTCTCATGCTGCTCCACAGCCATTTCCTGGCTCCCTAAAGCCCACCTGCTCCCCACAGCCCCCAGCTGCAGCTCATAAACTTATCCCAGGCACCAGGTGAGAATTAGCCCCAGCCCCCTGCAAGTTCTGCTTCAGGGCATCAGGTGAGGCCTCTGTGCTAGCCCCACCTCACCACTTGCAGGAAGACTCCTATCACCCACCTTCAGAGAGAAAAGCCAAGGGTGGCAAGCCAGAATTTTAATTCATTTTGCTTGTTGTCAACAGCTTAAAATCCCTGCAAGATTCATTTTGTTAGCTGATGAACTACTGCAGCTTCTGCAGTTATGTACATGGAGCTTTCAGGCTGAGCTATTGCCAGAGTTATCACAGGCTATTTGAGAAATCAGAGCAACTGTGCTGGCCACAGCACACTTTTTGTAATCTTTGTGAAAATATTCCTAATATACAAAGCAATAAAATGCAGTCACTGATCAAAGCTCTAAAGATGCAGATTGTGCTTTTACGCAGTATGCCAGGCTGTGAAACCACCCTTTCTTAAATGAAATTTATGTAAATAAGACTGCCACTTCCTTGGGTTTTCTGACAAGGGAATGGTCTAATATTTATAAGGAAAATCTAGATGCTGGCAGGATTTAGATATAACAGTTAAGGCAGCACTATATTGAACAGGATAGGATCTCAGCATTTTATTGAATGTGACTTCTTCTAGTTAATGGTACCCAGGTAACTAACAGAGTGCTCCCCAGAGTCTCCTTTCAGGTTCTGTAGCAGGTCTTTCAAGCAACCCCTCTGAGGCCTGAGCCTGCAGTCAGCTCCCCTTCCCAGCAGGCTGGGGGGTGGCAGCCACAGAAGGACCCGTGCAGTTTCACGTGGGGGAACCATCCGGCTCAAAGGGCCAATGGTTCAAAGTCCAGCTGGAGCAGTGGCTGGAGGAACGAGCTGATGGCAACTTGATGAAGTCCTGCACCGGGAACAGAACAACTCCCAGCTGGCTGAGTGCCCAGTGGATGGAAGGCAGCTTGAAAGAACAGGATCCACCTGGATCCCTGCATCCACTGAGTGGAACCTGTTGCAGTGCCTGTGTCAAGGAAGAGCAGAATCAGTGGGCATCAAGAATTGGAATGGCTGACCACAAAGGCTGCAGAATCTCTGCTCCTGCAGACACCCACCTAGACAAGGCCTGAGCAACTGGATCTAACCTGTAAGCCAGTGGTACTTCAGCAAGAGGTAAGACTAAATGTCCTCTAGAAATCCTTCCACTCCAAATGGTTCTATTCATCTCAAACTTGAGCTTCAGCAGCAGAAATACATGTTACTATATTTAGCTGTTTTCTTTGTTTCCTCTAGCAAGTGCTCTTTATTTGGAAGTCAAAGCACTATCTTCTGAACCATTAAAACAAAACAAAAAACCCTGAGATGTGTACATAATTCTGGACATAAACAAGTTTTGATCCTTTGTGCAAGATTTTCTCTAAAACATTACCCTCAAACTAAGCACACAGTGTCTCAAGAATTGTAGGTATTCTTTTTCTCTTTCCATAAAGTTGCCCTGGAAATTAGAGTCCACTTACTGGCCTGAGTCAACTGCACATAACTCAGATATCTTGTATGTGCACCTCTTATCAGCTCAACACCTGATCAGAACTCTTAAATCCTATCCTTTTCTCCAGTACTGCTTTTTTGTTACACAACCAGGGAAGTCCTGGGGGGGAAAAAAAGTTTATAAAAGAAAAAATACTTCCCTAAAAACATCTGGACATTGGTTCAAAAAACTTTTAAGTTTTTATGCACATTACATATTCACAGTATCCAAGGCCTAACATGAAACACTCAAATCACAATGCCATATACATTTTAAATCTGAACTTAGATTAGCAATTATATATGAAGAGAATAGCAATTTTGCAGCAAAACCCAAAAATTCTGCTTCTTCTCTCCCCTCTGTCCTACTGTCAGACATGCATAAGTCAAAATGCTTTTACTTACTAATTCAGACCAAAGAAAAAGATGTGCATAAACTGGCTTAGTGACATTTTATTAAAGTAATTTTTCAGGTTTCATGTTCTCCCCGCCCCCCCCAACATATATGTGCAAATTTCTTCTTCTGGCAGTAAGCCACAGACCAATTTTGACGTGGAAAACGGCTGTAGGAAAAAGAAACTCAGAAATTATCTTATAAATGGACACACAATACATTACAGTGATCCCTTTAGTAGTCAAATGGTTCATGAACATTATATTTTATGTAATATCACAAATGCACAAAATATGCTTTCCATATGATTGCAAAAACAGCAGCGCTCTGGAGCCAAGTGCATGACTTAATATTATAATAATGAGTCTACTTCAGTGTAGTGGATTTTAATAAGACTTTAATAATACTGGTATGAAGCCAAATTACATAATGTCCCAAAATATGAAACAAAGCTTTTGTAGAGAAAATAAAAGCTCATTGAACTATAACCACATTAAAAATAACAACAACCAAACAAAAAAACAACAAAACAACAACCACCAATGTTATCTAAACAAAGCCATTAGGCATACTTAATTTTTAAAAATCAAATTAGAGAAAATGAACTCAAATCTATTCCCAGATCTCAAGATAAAATTAAAAAGGATATTATTTTAGGCAACATTTATGAAAATGGAGGTACTATGTCAGCACTGGGAAACAAGCTAACACCGCAATTACATCTTTTGGCACAGATATGGATATGGGTTGAGTATCTCCAATTTCTCTCCAAGGACAAAAAATGATTCAGTTACTTTACAGGTGGAGTTTAAGACTGAGCTATGTTGGATTATCTAGGAACAGCTTATACCAATAAAATTATTTTCTTTTGCACATGAAAACAAACTCAGTGTAAAAGTCCCAGAGGTAAAGCACCAAATTATTTACTCCCTCAAACCCCTTCAGTTCTGGAGTCTTGGGGAAAACAAGGATTTGAAATCACCTGTAAAGCTCACTCAGGCATGGACAATTCTCAGAACAGCTTCCTCTCTCAACCCTCCCCAAGTATGGCAATGTCAGACAGCAATTAAAAGAAAAGTCAGCATTTCATTTGTTGGGTAACAAGCAGAATGGCACACATTCCTAAAGCTGTAAAACCTTTTAAATATTAGTGTTATGCTAGTTGGAAGATTAGCATTTGCACGGATAACATTTTTTGTTCTTTATTAGGATCAACTGTGAAGATCCACATATCCAACAGAGAGACCAACATCTATTAGCATATTCCACCATACTACTGGTTACAAGTACTGATGTTAAACTGAGGGTAAATCTGTGCTGACAGCCCACCAGAGCATGTGGCGATGAATACAGGAAGAATCAGAACAGTTTTCTTTACTTAGATTGTTTCATCTACGTGTCTCTATTTTTTAAGCAGTTTTGATACAGGCATAAAAAAATTTTAAGTAGATTTAGATTCCACATGACAAGATGAAGTGAGCGGGACATTTTATGCCTTGGATTTCTTATAAGTCTACTTTAGCTACAGAAGCCATTAAAAAGTTGCAAGTAACTTCAAGATGAAAGGCATTAGAAGCTTTTTAGAAAAGGATAATCACACTCTTCTAAAGACTTAACGAGACATAATTCACAGAAGCTTTTGACTTGGTCTGCTGTTAATTGAATCAAAGTCGATGATGATCTTGTTACACTTTGGCTTGAATTCCCTAAAAAAAGAGAAAAATACAGATATTAGTTAGTGAGTAGTTGAAACATTTTGCTTGCTTTAGTTCCAGCTAAATTTCTGAAGGAATAAAAAAATCCCAAAAAACACATCCTTGGATTCTTGTAGTTTTCTTCTCTATGGGAGCCAATTATAGTGCGCCACACTGAGAGAAACCTGGACAAGAAAGACTAAGACAAAAAGACACATGGGGTGGGTTACCCTGTACATTCTTCAGCTATTGGAATTTATAAATTACCCAGGAGTCAAAGGACTTTTACCAACTTAGCTGCAGGTGGTGGCATAATGTTACCAGGTTTGTGATTTTTGTTCATAATATATTAACATTTCAAATATTTTTAATATATATTTACAAATCTAGATAGAGGTATCTAGATATTGGTATCCAGGAAAAAAAAATTAAATCTTCTGTATATGTATGCATATAAAAAAAGATATTTGGAATACACTATGATAATATTGATATTTTGATCAATTTTTTCCTGCCAAGTTTTAGAAAAACACTTTCAAGCTTTGTGTCAGCATAATAGAATATTTTTTGTGGAAGGGGAATAGATCACATTATGTCATACTGGGTAAAACCCAAACTAGTTAAGAGGGAATAATTTAAAAATGGTAACTTTAGAACTCTAAAATTAATACTGCCGCAAAATGTTTCCTTTTATTATCATTACAGCATCTGCTGCAGCAATTAGCAAGGAAGGTATACAGGGACTGAGCATATATTTTCCAGTCTACCAGTAAACAAAAGATTATGCAAATAGTGTGGATTTAGTGCCTAATTAAGCTCTGCAGTTCAGTTCAAGAGATTCATTAAGTACCACCTACATCCTCAGCAATCGATACAAGGATAAGTAACAGTCAACGCAGGAAAGCACTTGCTGCTGACCACAGAAACTCTGAATGCTTTGTTCTGAATAGCAATCTGAAATGCAAGAAACATTTCTCACCCTGGAGAAGTTACAAGATTTGACTTGCAAGAGAATGATTTATGCTTCTTAGTCAAATAGTCTTAGTAGACAGGAAATACACTGAAGGACTGAAACTGAATTTCAAGTACTGCTGTGTTTTTCCATGGATGTTTCCTAGCCCAGTAGGTATCTTTCATCCTAAAATTTTATCTGTCAGAATTGTTATGTTTGCAAATTTTTCAAAGTCTTTATATTAATACTGTAAAACTTTTTAGAGTTGCAAAGCCTCCCTGACTACATAATTAGCCTCACCCACAGCATGCTACTCCCATCGAACTCACTGTTGAACAGATTGTCTTTAGGTATTTCTGTCAGTGTCTTTAAAAACCCCATTCTTGAAACATTTTTCAGGTTATCATTACTTCAAGGCAAATATTCCAAGTTTTATCCTTTTCTCACCTAAAAGCTGACCAAAGAAGATGAACAGCTATAAGTACCAAGAATTAATTATGGGTGGCTTGTTTGACACCTTCCCAAACTGACAGTAACAACAAGATACTGAAATTACAATAAGGATGGAGTAATCCACAAAACCACCACCAACAAAAAAATCAGTTGTTTGTTTCAGTCCAACTCATATGATCACAGGATAATCCAGGTTACACACGACTTCTGGAGATAATTTAGCCCTGCCCCAAGCAGGGTCAAGGAAGACTCTCCTGAGTACAATGTAACAAACAACCACCCCCTGACGATTTCACTCCCATTCCAGGAACAAAATGAGTCATGGACCATTTTCTTATACAAACGTTTCAAAATTGAACTCTCACCATACACGAGACAAAAGAATGGTGCTGCAGTCCCTCCACAGAGCAAGCCATCTACAAACACTACAGAGGAATAAAATGCTACATGACTGAAAGAAGAAAAACATTTGCCCTAAAGTTGGTCTGTTTCACATCCCCCCTTTTTTTCCATTCCAGAGTAAAAAAAAGTTAATTCTCTCACCTATATATAATACCTGCCAAATCAAACATCCGCCGTGCAGCTGTCATTTCTGTAGTGTCATGGTACTTGTCAGACATGAAAATAACTTCCTTTATGCCTAAAGAAGTCACATAGAAAAAATGTTAGAATTACACTGAAAAAAAAATAGTAATGCCTGGTGCACAAAATCAGAAGAGACAGCATTCATCCACACGGTCTACAACTCCTTGGTACACCTCCACTCACAAATGTATGCTGTGGAAAACTGCTGAATGAACTTTGCTTAAACCACTTAGAAAAGAGGAGAAATATAAAGGCTTCAAAAGAGAATTCACAAGCGTTTCATAGCTGATCAACATCTTCCTCTGTTTGCCAGACAGCATGAATATCAATACATTGCAATTTAGTGCTGACCTAAGTGCATAAGGAAAAGGATGAGTGATTACACTGAGAAAAAGCAGCCAATCTACCTTGAAGACCATTTGATTTTGATTCTGTAAGAGAATTGTATGAAGCGCAAATGCAGAACATCATCATATTTCCCTATTCACCCCTCTTGATTTCAGACCATACTGAACCAAAATAAAGAAGCCTTCTGTTTGCTGCTTTCTTCCTATATTCCTGTGGCCATTAGTGGTAAGAGACACTCCCCAGAACAACAACCCATGCTGGGACTGCATGACTTTACTCAGTGAGCAAAATACATGCTACTTTAAGCAGAGATTTTTACAGAATTGAAGCCTGCTGCAGATACTGCCTAATCTCAAAAAAGGAGACACATTTAGGCCAGCACACTTGCTGCAGTGGCACAGATTTATAATAATTGTAATGAAAGACATAATTAAAGTAGGATCATAGAAATCTTATGACATTTATGAGCAAAGATATTTTAAAATCTTCGAATATCTACTATGCATCACATTCAAATTAAAATTTCATGTATATACTCCCAACAGACCTTTTGTCATGCAGAAGTTTATTTCTTTCTGCCCTACTCTATTCAATGTGCCAGAGCACAGTAAAATTGACAGTAATTATATGCAAAGCCTGTGTTGTTCTTTGGCAGCTCCTGGTCTAAGAAGTTACAAACCTAAATTAGAAGCACGTTTAGAATCACAGTAGATGCAATTAGCACTGGAAAAATTTGGCACCATTCAGATGCAAAAAACCCCCACAAGTAGCATCTTATGAGGTTGACAGTGCAATTAATTTAGATCTAACATCAGCAATTTAACATCAAATACATCTATTAGAAGACGCCAATGAGCAGGCAGCACTGCAACCCTGAAAAAGCAAGCTGGCACTACTGCTTACCTGCCTGGATGATGAGCTTTGCACATTCATTACATGGAAATAAGGCAACATACATGCTGCAGCCTTTCACATCAGCTGAGTTTTTGTTCATGATGGCATTCAATTCGGCATGGCACACTGATTAAACAAGGGAAGAAACAATTCATAATACTGATCATTAAAATAAATTGGTCAAACTAAAATTAAAGTGTTACAATATAATTGCTCGCATTATTTTCAAAGCAAATAGCTTGCACAGCTTATCATAAAGGGCAGAGAAAGAAATAAAAGCAGAAATACCAAGATCAATGAAGGTCAATTGTTGTGACCAGGCTGCTGATTAGTAATGATATCATTAAGTGCATTAGCACTGCCATTTGCTAACACCTATTGCAGGCAACAAAGCCGTAGGCTGTGGGCCAAGCCATTGCAACCACCCTTAGTGAAGCAATATCTCACAGCTTCACAACTCTCTGGAGTATCTAAGTGCCAGTATAAAACAGCTCATTTATGTGTTTACATGCACAGATAGGAGCAGTCTTATGGCTGTAGGAGCGCGCTGTGCGCTCTTAAAGGCAGCAGAGTCGCCAAGTAAAACCGAGCAGCTCTGTCCTCTGGGCCTCAGAATGGCTCAGCACTGCTGCAGGATTCTCCCACCCCCAGAATACACAAGACACACTCGGCCATAAAAACATCCAGCTTCAATATTAAGAGCGACTTTACTGCTCATTAAAAGGTGCCAGATTTCATAAGCAGGAAAACAAAGTCCTGACTTCTCCATGGATTTGAGACATGGACCATCCTGCCTTACTCCACCATAACACAATAGCTCCTTCAGGACAGACAGCACCAGTGTTTATGAGAACAGGCATTCTCAGATTATGGTAAAGAGCAGATTATCTAATGTTTTACCAACACACCTGAGAAGAGGGAAGTTTCTGTGTCATTCACAATCAAGCTTTGAAAACAACATTGGTTCTGCAAGAACTTCCTGTTTACTCCTAGGAATAACAGCAAGTTGCATAATTTATATACCTACCTACTAAGAAACTGCCTGCTGCCCTGACTTCTTAAACAGATGCTGAAGTGTGGTGTGGGTTTGAGATCATTTAGAGACCTGCATGTGCAGACAGAGGTTTTCCACTGCTTGTTTTGAAGAACAGATTTTTTTTTAAAGTCATTTTCTTCTCCCTTGTGCCCATGTGAAAATTAAAACAGACCAAGTTTCATAGCACAACTTCATAGCAAACTTGGTGCTATATGCTGACCTCTGTGTGAATGATCTCACCACACAAATAACTGAGTGCACTACCTTCAACACACAGGAATCACTGCTGAATGGAAACGTTTTCCATATGCACTAAATGTCTACATGGAATTTTCTATACAACAGCTAATGCACTACAAATTTACAGCCTAACTTACAGTGCACAAACTTTCCCATGCAAGCAAGTCACAAAGGACCAAACACTTGCAAAAGAAAGCTCAGTATTGGCTTCTACCACACCCATGTCATGCTGTCCACATACCTTCTCATAACCAGTAAAGCCAGAAACCAACACAAAAACCAGGAAATTGAAAAAGAAAAAAAAACAAACCAACCAAGAGCCAAGAACCATCACATTAAGGCTTCTTTCATTATTTTTACTGTTTCTACTGCAAGTGTTATTGGGTCACACTGTATTTTAAATACATGCCATTAAGTGTATGAGAGATGCAGTTATATGAACCTACACATTTAGAAAATCCAGATAGTATGTTGAACTCCAAGTACATTACTAAGTTGCACCAATCTTATAAAGCCTTCACAATAAATAGTCAGAGAATTATTTTCCTGCGGCTACAGAGGATTGGGTAAGAGAGTGATATAATTTCCACAACTGGAAATAGGGGTTATGTCAACAGGACAGAAACATCACTTTTAAGTTTCTTTGAACAATATATTTGTGTTCTAGGCAGCAGTTTAAAATATGGAAGGCATCCAAAAAGAAGGATGTTTTCAAAGGCTCCCAAAACTAGAAAAGAAACAAAACTAATGCCTTTAGTAAATATTTTTCCTTCATTAAAACTCAAGAACCTTCAGCTGTAAAACCAGACAAGTTTCATTATTAGTTTCATTCATTACTGCAACAAGTTTCCTTCCTGCACTAATGAGAGAAAAAGGTTATTTTGGCAGACTTCTACAACTTTCAACAACAAACCCCTTCCCAAGCAAAAACAAGATCAGCCTAAGAATAACTTATAGCAGATAATCAGCTGGAGCAAGGGAAAACCAAAAATTTTGCCTTCTGACCATCTTCACACAATCTGAAGTTAAGAAAAATTACAACTATCCCATGTGGACAGAAGACACAGAGACAGCAATAAGAAACAGACAAATCATTCCAAGACAAAAAGTACTTAGGTCTACAACAAATCCAGCAGGTTTTCATTTCAAATAGAAAATTAGGTACATTTTTCATGTACCTAACCAAGTATTTCTTATTGAACTTATTGCAGAGACTGGTACAGGATCAGAACCTTGCACTGACTCCAGAAGTCATAATTTTCCATCCAGTATTACTTTTTTAGTCTACTGGGCTATTAAACACCAAACTGTTCTGTTTCAGTTACTGTGATTTGAAGGCATATTCTGGGAAACTATCATTACATATGTCTTTGTTTTATACATCTCCCTAGACATGTGCTACTTATAAAGGGTTATTATGCCAGATGGTTCTTAAGAAGGTGCTGGCATCAGACAAGTATTTTTAGGCTTTGTCCCATCACTCTTAATTCCCTCTTACTCATATTCACCTCCCTCTGACAAACAGGCATTGACCAGGTAAGATAGGTCTATTGCCCCCAGATTTTTCCTATAGATCTCCCCAGCTTTTTTGAGAGACAGAAAACAAATCCAGAAGTCCAAAATCCCTCTTGTTAATGACTAACTAGTTTATATTTGGGGTGTTATGAAGTTTTCTAAGCTGTTAAGAGCTCCTGCTATTAGTTACAAATTTTTCTCTGAGATAGTAAGAAGCTAACTTAAAATAACCTTTCCCAGGTTCACAGTATTCAGAACTCTGAAAACAGTATCTTTTAAGCAGACTAGTAAAACTAAGAATTTTTACAATACCCTATGAGGGGCTCGAGAGCTTTGGCTTTAAAAAAACCAATATTCACATGTAGCCAACATAGTATCAAGTCCACAACACTGGTTTCCATTCTGGAGAAGTAGCTTGAAAAGTATTCTCAAAAGGCTTCATTAGCTGAAGAAATAACCATGCAAGGAGAAGTTAAGTGTGTGCTCTGACATTCCCACCACCTGCTACTAGGTTCATGAAAGGGGAAAAAAAAAGAAGCCAATGAATGACTGCTTCACTACTGGTAGTATTAATTGCTAGTGTTTCTATCTCTTCTCATTGCATGCTGGTTTGTGTTGCATAGCTGAGATAGCACTCATCCTTAAGCTCACCTGTAAATAAGAGACCCCTGCTTACCCTATAAATGGCAATTTTTCAGGATTGAACACTTAACATGAGCATGTTCCCAGTGGGTTGCAGAGTCAGAAGTACCCTTCCCACATTCTAAACGTGTTCTGACTAGCAATTTCATGAGAACCACAAGACTAGTCAAGGTGTTTAACACTGTTTAAAGGCTTACATGCTTGATGAGGAGCATGCTAGGGACCATAACTTTAAAGACCCTTTAAAGAAGCAACCAGAGGAAGGGCTAGTGAGAATGACATTTTAGTGCTATTAATTACTAATTGAGCCAGACTAAAAATTTTGTTTTGCTGTAACTCTGACACTGAACACCTATCAAGAATCCCAGAAGATATCAAAACATTAATTTAAGGAATGGAGTCTGGAGTGACAACCACTGGGGGCAGTGGTTGATGGATCTGGAATTTGTAGAAGGACATCTGGTTTTTTCAGCCTTTTTGAAAGCATAGGGATGGTTGCTGGTCACTTCATTAAGGGCAGGCAGGACACTGATGCTGGGCTGGCACTGCCCTCAGCCCTTCCTGCTGTTCTCTCTCCCTCTGTGTGTGCTGGAGAAGAAGCTGTGGTCAGAGCACAGAGGCAAGGATAACAGCAGCAGGTTTGTTGGGAGGCCTAGCCTCCTCAACTGCAGTTAGAAAAACATAATCCAGCCTCGTGGCTTTCTTCCACAAAAACTGGGAAGTGAAGATGGGAACCACCCAGCCCATTTATGAACATCACAAAACTTGCTGGGTCAGACCAGAGAAGGCCCTCTCAAAATGTGAGCAGCATTAGCTAACCCACCCTATTTCAGTTTCTCCCATCCTGCTCCAAGCTGGTTCTACTCCTAGCAGAACACAGAGGTGTTTCTTAGCAGGCAAGTAGAACAAGAAGAATCTGGTTGTTTCTAAATCTCCAAAGTTTCTACAGGTTTGATGTATGACACCAGAATTGGACAAAAATCCATGCAGGATGAGAGTGGCTGTAAGTAGAGACCATCTCCTATAGATCCCCTTCCCAGCTGAAGCCTCATCTTTGCACTGCCAATTGGAGAGAGAGCATCACACCTCAGAGTGCCTTATCAAATTTTGTACTGTCAAAATAACAGCTTCTACAAAACTAACATTTGCCTGAATATTGTTGAGTGTTCATTACTCTGAAAAATTGACAAAATCTCATAATCCTAACACGAGGAAATGTTGATAACAGTTTGTTTCATTTTACACAGCAGGTACTGTTCAATTAGAGCATACTTTTTGCCACAGCACATATTTTATCATATTTGAACCTGTATAAATATTTGTAAGCATACTTACTCAATATTTTCTGTATTGCTCAGAGGTTTCTAAATTTGCCAGTCATTTTAATTTAAAACCTTTAATTAGAGACTAGTTGTCAAATGGATGTTCTTAGATTACAGAGGGCATAACAGGACCACAGCAACTAGATTTAGTGGGAAGATTTGTGTTAATAGGACAAAAAATGTAGTATTTTAAATGACTGGTGAGAGGAAACTGAGCATCAACAAATCCTCAGATTCATCTAAAAGAAACAGAGGGGACACTTTTGACTCTGAAAACAGAATTTTGCCTAATTACTAAGAAGCTTCTCCACATAGCACTGAATACAATGCTTCAGAAAGAGCTTTTAATAACATCTTAGTAAAATTGGCCTTCCATTTCTCTCATGTGCACAGACACATCCCTGCTGCTGTTACTGACTGGCAGCCTGGAGCCACTTCCAACATAACAACGACACCTTGATTTTGTGCTGCCAAAAATGGCACCCTGCAAAACACTCTGTGCTTTCTGATATAACAAGGCTATACTGCTCAAATATACACCACAACTAGAAGGAAGAGCCTCCATCCACTTCAAGAGTCTCATAAGGAATGCACAGTACCAATACACGTGCACCTCTAATATCCAAATGCCTTGCAAATGTTTCCATGCTCTAAGGAAAGGTGAACAGCAGCTACCACAGTTTGGTGCCTTCTTGCAGGAGCAGCTCAGGTTAAACTTGGATTTCTTAATCAAGTACAACACTGCCCCTAACAGTGAGTTGAGCAGAACCCACGCTTGAGATAGATACATGCAGTATAGTGCAGCAGACACAGGTAACCCAGACAGTGGTGAATTTCAAACCAACAAGTTTCAAGATACAGCAAAATTCAAGAGTGACAGGACTTGCTAAACCTCACAACAGAAGTTCAAAAGGTAACTGTTATCAGTAAGTGCACAGGGAAGGAGAAAGGGTTAACCACAGTGAATAAGACAAGCTAAAAGAGCATTGCTGGCACATGCAAGAATCTAAAAACTAACCACAGATAATTTAGGGTGGAAATTGGAAGATTTTTAGCCATGAAACAGTAAATCTGATCAGAGCTGTAGGGTCAATGCAGCTCAATAGATTTGAGCTCAGTAAATTTGTTACAGGATCACCTAAGACCCTTCTGCAAAGATTGCCTCTGGGTCCAATCCCCTACTATGTCATGGTGCTAAACACAGACAGGGCCAGGGACTGACCCCTGGTCCTGAGGCCAACTGGCACAGACTGGCTCGTGCTCATCTTAGGGCTCCATCAGCAACACACTGCCCTCAGGCCTTGGTTTCCTCAAGCTCCAGAGTCCTGTGACACCACACAGTAATTTTGTAAGTCTCAGTTCAAAGTGCATAAAGAAGTGAGAAGACTTTTATGCAGCCCACCAGAGAGGGATTTTCAGAGCATGAAACAGAGTACGTGTTGCATATCTGCCAGTATGCCTGAGGGAAGGAGGAGGGTTAAGCATACCATCTCAGCAGGCTTTGCATTATGAGCCTACACCTGATGCCTGTTTTCTTTGCAGTCTTTTTTCCACCCTGCCCTCCAGAACACCACTGGAAGAGCCACACTGAAGCTTTGTTCTGGAGAAAGCTGGCAAGAGTGGTGCAAAACACGGGAAGCGAGCTAAGCGTTTATGGCTAACCCACAAGAGTACCCAAGACCAGTGGTCAGCACTCACATCCAGCCCCAGACCTTTTCTGCAGCACTGCTGATGCATGAAGTAGCTCCAGAAGACACCTTCCAACTTAGTGGGGTGGTACATGCACAATTACCATCAGCTTCATCTAATAAGCTACACTGCAGTGATGAAAGTGCCACCATTCCCATGGTCACCCACCATGGTCAGCTAATGGAGCTCACAGAAGATTGTACTGTCTCTGAATAAGCCAGTCAGGAAAATGCAAGGATAAAAAGTTCAATTTACACAAATGCTGTGATGATTAGCAAAAGGAGAAAGGAAAAATGACAGTTTAATGAGATTTTAGCAGCATTTCTGTGTGTCTCTGCATCTACCAGAATTTTTTTAAGCAGAATACTTTTTTTTATATATATACTTGTCTGGTCTGTCAACTGTGCTATCAAGATTAATAAGAAATTGCTAGAGTTTAAATGATCTGTGAATTACAAAATAGGTTGTTTATTCATCACAGCAGACACTTTGTGTTACAAAGTTGTGATTTTTTTAATGAGGTGAAGACTAAGATAATAGGGGGAAGGGTAGTAGTTACACCAACTCCTGGAAATCAACTCAGCACTCCAAGCTGTTACTAGTTAGCTCATTTTTTAAACATCACACACTGCACATCTTCTGCAGTCAGAGTTAACAAAAAGAAAAAATTTCTCACATCATCTTGTACAAAGATTCCTCACAGTACTTTTAGTTTAAACTCGTGAGCTCAGATTTGAGTGCCTGGAACATGCTCCAATGCCAGAGACCACCCATGCTCTTTAGCTCAGAACTGAGACCTTATGGCAGCATAAAAATTCAACCAAAATCAATATTCTGTTTTCAGTGCTTTATATTTAATCAATGGGCTAACACTTGTTTCCTCACCCTATAAATAAAGAGCAGTCATGCTAAGTTGTACCATTATGGTCACAGCAATATATGTAAAACCAGTGGTTCAGAGCAGACTTCAAATTTGGCAGGAGCAGACTTCAAATTTGGCCCTATATTGGGAATACACCTGTTACAAAAAATAATATGAAATGGTCTTGAGCTTAAGAGTTACCATTAGAGGTTTTACAATAAATTGGTGAAGTGAACAAGGACAAAGTACTGGGGTTTTAAGAAGTCAAAAATATCAAACTGATTAATTATGTGCTGAGCCACTGCATATCATCTTTCACCTCAATGCTATAGAAAACCAGAAAATGGTTTTTAGAAAGAGCTCTGAGTGAGCTCAGGCTATGTCAAAACTCATGCAAGTTTAATTTCTCTATCACACCAATTGTTAAAGTTACAAGTAAGAAACAGTAATAGTAGGCAGAGATAAATACTGGTCACTGGAAAAGAGTCAGTATTTCTCTGCAAAAGGTGAACTCCTGTGCTGACTTTCCCCCATCCACACAGGGAGAAAGAAAATTTCCCAAGACTGTGGTTCTCTCTTTTGTGTTTCTCTGCCCTGCCATTCCTGAGCTCAGGAGAGGCTGAGAGGTAGCATAGGAAACCATAGCTCCTGGTTTTTCTGTGCCTGTGGCTTCTGCTGCATTGGTGTCACACACAGACATGCAGCAGGAGCTGGAGTGGGTGCAGAAAGACCAAGGGGGACTTAAGGAAGCATGGGGAGAGACTGTATGGTCTCTTAGCAGTCCTAACCAAGGTCTCTTCCCCACACGGCAGGCCACACGGCAGCCCAGTCTCCTTGGTTCCTGCAAACCACACCTGATCCAGAACAGTCAGCCCTGCTGACAGGTCAACCCAATTTCACAGAGGACCCTTTAAATAACACTTACAGAAGCCCAAACTATGCCTGCTGCAAAGACAAAGGCTTTAAGATCCAAAGCAGCACTCCACTACATTTACCATGAAACATCCTTGCTCTTCACTCCTTTTGTCCATCAATAAGTGGGAATCAAATCAGAGGCTGAAATAAACAATGAAAGCCACCTCACCCACAGAAAGGTAGACCCATGGCACACAGACTTCAAGTCAAATATTCAGCTTCTTCATAGTATGTACAGCCTATCCCATCAACACCTGAAATGGAAATTTCCCACAAGTACTGGAGTTTATAATTTTAATACCTGTATTTTATACTCCATTACTTGTTTTGCATATACACACAGTGTAATTTCTGTGGAGACAAACACACAGAAGCAGCAATTACCTGCATGCACTGCAGCTGTGTGCTAATGAGCAGCTTCATATTTACAGGCTTTCACTATCCAGACCAAAATGGCTAATATTTATGAACCTATTTCACCAGGAAGTCAGTCCTTTAAATAGACTGTGATTTTTATCCTGGTGCACCACATATGAGTACATTAATGATATTAAGTGAGTGGAAGAAAAACTGATCGATACTTTACCAGCTGAACTTTCACAGATACAGACACCACCAGTCTAACCTGTCAACCACAAGAAGCCTTACCATAAGGATATTTTGTGTCCAGTCTATTTTCTCCTGTTCTTGTCCAGGGCAGTACATCATCACTGCAACCATTAGGCATCCCATTGTATCCAATTCCAACAATCTTGTTTTCTGAATTTACAATGCAGGCACCAACCTAAATAAAATCAGATTTATATAGTACCAAAAGCAGGCAAAACAATGTGTCAATAAGAAGATGAGACATGAACAGTCAGTCCTATGATTTTCATTTAAGAGATACAAGCTTCACTTAATATATTAAGTCACACTATCTAGTGAGCAGGGCTACAACTGTACCTAACTGGTGGGGCTTTGAAATAAGTCAGGGCAGATGTAACTCTGCTACCCCTTTGGTCATGCTGTTCCCATTCCAGCCTGCCAGCACTGTTCCTTGTCTGCTTATGAAATAACCTAGTTCAGGGAGCAGAAACAGCACTGAATGAACCCTAGTAAACACGTAAGTTCAGCTCCCCAAACTAGCTTTCCCAGCAGCAGTATGAGCAACATGAGCAGGAGAAAAGTTATGAAAGATGTAACAGAAATACAAGTGCTGGCTTACGCAGGCCTCACAAGCTTTTGTGGCTTGTTGCAAACATGCACTGAAATTCCAAACCTTTTAACTTTCACCCTTTATTGCTTCAACCTAATTGTACAAAGGGACTCTTCTTAAAGAATGTGTCCCATTTTTTTATTTTCTGCCCATATTATTTGTTGAAATTGCAATAGCACTGATTTTAATTCACACAACGTGCTTGTCAGCCGGCCCTTGGGTAACAAAACCTTAGCCCCAAGTGAACAACCTTCAGGGAGCTAAGTGCCAAAATGGACAGAAGGAAGTGAACAGATTGCTTTTCTGCGATTTGCTTCCTGATTTTTTTCACACAAAGGAAGTCTAACAGGATGACTACATCCTGCAGAATATCATGTTTCAGAACCTGTATCAATCACCTGAAATCACTATTGAACAATATTGAACAGAGGCACATGAAACATGTGAAAAATGGAAACAGACAGTGAAGCATTGGGAACAGGGGATCCTGAGGGAGGAACAAACTAGAAGAAAACTCCAGTCAACCCAATAACAAACAAATACTCTTACAAGTGAGGAAAAGAAACTTGTGAAATGTTGCGTCTTAAAAAATTACAACCTAAAACTTCCAGCAGTTTTATCCTCCTCTAAAAGTGACTATATTTCCTGGGAAAAGGTGACAAAATGCATGTGTTATTTTAACTTCCAGATGAAAAGATGATTTATAAAACTCCAAGCTACAAATGTACACAGAATTATATATATGAGGTCAGGCCCAATAAGAGAATTTCTGTAACAGAAGGTGCTGACTATGTTAAAAACTGAACAGCTATACACTGAAATACACAAGTGAGGAAAAGAAACTGGTAAAATGTTGTGTCTTAAAAAATTACAACTAAAACTTCCAGCAGTTTTATCCTCCTCTAAAAGTGACTATATTTCCTGGGAAAAGGTGACAAAATGCATGTGTTATTTTAACTTCCAGATGAAAAGATGATTTATAAAACTCCAAGCTACAAATGTACACAGAATTATATATATGAGGTCAGGCCCAATAAGAGAATTTCTGTAACAGAAGGTGCTGACTATGTTAAAAACTGAACAGCTATACACTGAAATAACTTTTATTAAGAAATTCCTGAAACTGCTATGTGTACATCTGATGTGATAGGCAATATAGATTAGGTTATCTTATTATTATATGTTGCCTTCTTACCTGAGAGCTTGGATCCTTACTTCTTTGTGCTGACAGAAAAGCTACTGCCATAAAATATTCAGGCCATTCCAAATAATCCTCTCTTTTTTTGCAGGATGCTTCAGTGCTGAAACAATATTTGATAGAAAAAAACAGCCATCAGCAAACACCACAGACCTAGAGTTACTACAAATTGCATTATTTTAATGTGCACAAGTTTAAAGTAACCAGGATCTGAACATGGCTAAGACCACACATTCACTAATATTTTGATAGTAAAACCATCAGTTTTAAGTGCTTTCCAGCAACATTTCCTTTCAAGGAAAAGGCATCAAGCAAGGTTGCAAATTTCATTTTTAGATAAGAAGGCTGAGATATTCACAGCACTAAGCAATTCAAAGACAGAGCAATTTATCCTTTACAGATAACACCTTGTATATTTCTAAGGTTCGGGTATATCATGTACTGCCATTCTTCTCAGCCAAACAACATAATATTTTTTATGATGACTGTGATAACTGCCAACCTCTAATCTAAGTTACTTTCTACTTTTGCCTACAACAAGTGCTCAGTAGCTTCCTATTTGGTAACTTCTTCTGCAGGCATTAATTTCTGACCATACAGTTATCACTGTCAGTTTATCTCTTGTTACAACATTGACCACCAAAGATATGACGCCGTTCCAACAGCTCCCTTCCTCTAATTTTCTCTTGAGAGAAAATGAAGCCTTCTGAAAACTGACAGGAGGTGGGTTCAAGAACTTTTCCTTTAGATATAATATATAAAAGTACCACAAAAGGTTGCTTCTTTCCCTGCCCTGAAGGGTAGATTTGGGGAAAGGAGGAAGGAAAAAAGGGCGATACATCATTTTCTCTTGCCTGCTTATGGGTGAAAGCCTGCTCAGACAGTGTAAGACACAACAGGGGAATTTCTGTGCTTTTCAGCTCAAAGAAAAGAAAGGCAGACATCTCTCTCTCCACACATACATTTAAGCTTTGAAAATTTCAAACAAAAGATCAAATCGAAAGAAATTTCCCCCAAACTCCGTCATCTATCATTGCTACAACCTGAAAACCAAACCAATGGAACATCTCAAATACAGTGATTAGCCTATCAAAATACAAGGGACACAGCACTTTTCTTCTTGGGCTCCTCTTCCCAAAAACTACAGGTTAAGACCAAGATACACTTCTTGTGATGTACAGCCTTGCAGAGAAATACATCACAGGTAACTGCAAGCAGCAAGACATCTCCTAGCAACACTAGTACTGGCACTTTCAGAAGATAAACACTGGAAGGCAAGTGTTGAGTTAATCATTATTTTTATAACTAAAACCATGTATTAGATGCTTGCAGTTAGCTTGTCATAAAGAGGTTACACTCTTTGAGTGAAAACAATGATAAAACTGTACTTTAGAAACCTACAATGTGCTATTTACCAAAGATAAATTGCTAGTTTTGAATAGTCTGTATGTGGCACATTACAAGTTAGCAATTTTGGCTTGTTCTTGGAATGAATGAGGATCACCTTTAAGGTTACCATCTCCAAGTAAGGAGGGAAGAACACACACTCTTGATGTAACCCACACACCTCTCTCACATTTTGACAACACTGCAAATAGCGCCCAGAACTGTCAATTGTCAAAGCAAATACACAAATCAAGTATGTGATTCTAAAAATGCCCAGATTGATTTAAATCACTGTAACTAAAGGGTTGGGCTATATCCTACCAAGAAGGACAAGTGCTCAGAGAAAGAAGAGATTAAAGACACACCCTAACACCACTCTGTGCCAAACTGAACTTTGACAGGTTAACTAAAACATCAAGAAAATGTTTCAGCTATATGATTATTTAAAATACCTCCAAAAAACGGATTTACAAAATCTAAACCACAACTGGACTTTCAACGATCGCTTCTGCCTAAGTGACATTCACAGTGATGTCTTTGGAGAGGGATAAAACACAATGCAGAACTACACAGAATAAAACCTTCTGGGAAAAGGGCCCCAGTAAGAGAGTAGTACTCTGAACTAAGAGGTCGTGAGATCTCCTTTTGTTAAACTATTCCCTAGCAACTCTACTTATTCAAAACATAACAAAAGCTAGTATTTACTTTTCTAATAAATACAGAACTGCATGTAAGTGGAGGTCCCTCAGAGCACCAACTTCACAGGGAGAAGAGCATATCTAAAAAATAAGCAGAAGGCTTACATCAAAGAGAACATAAAAACCCCCCAAAGCCCTCACTCAATTACTTCTACTTAACATCAGCGTGTTTGGCAAGACAATTCCCTCAACTCAGTGCACAAGAACTCAAGAGTGTGAAATGGGTATAAACCACTTAATTTCTGATTGAGCAGAAGCCAAGGCCTTGGCTAGCAGTCAAGCACACACATGAAAATTAGTTCATGGATTTGGGGCAGCTGATAATCTTCTTTATGCTCATTTGAAAGTTCTAGAATTGCATGAATGAAAGCTACTCTAGAAAATACTATAGCTAGCTGTAAAACAGGCAATCAAGGCTTACCCTTAGGACAACGCATAAGAACTTCTGAACAAAAATAACAGAAAGTGAAAGCTATGAACAATAGGGGGAAACAAAAACCTAAATTTCAGAATAATTAGTAGTCTATAGAAAATTTTGTAAGGGTTATTTCAAGGGAAAATAGAGAAAAAGATTCTATAGCTAGAGAACACTGCCTCCCTTTTCACTTCTTTTTCATCCATCTAGGCTTCAAGTAAGCTGTGACACCATCTGAAAAAGGAACAAATGTCATTCAGCTACTTAAAAAAATGGTCTAGCATAACGAAAATTTCTTTTGAGAACACTACAAGAGAATTTATAGTCTGAAATTTTTTCATACGACAATTATGACAACAATATAGTACAGCTGGAGGAATGGGGGGGTATCAGATCAACCCCTCCTTTTAAAAAATTTTTCCTCTGCTTCCTTATCTTTGATGTCATGTGCATTATGCTACAACTCTATTTAAGCAGTATTATTCCCCAGTATCACGTATACTACTGAAGACCAACTTATCAATACCTTGGCATGAAATCACAGGTAAAAGATGAAGTGTGTATTAAAAATAAGTAAACATCTTCAGCTAAGCTCTTGCTCCCCAAAACAGAATACATGATGACCTTTAATTCAAGCTTCTTCTTTAAATCTCCTATTTTATGATCATTACTAGATTAAATGAATGGGGGATTTCCTTTACTTGAGGCTTCTCATTTTTCCCCTCATAGAGGTACTGAGATAGGGTCATTACATATTGCTACTGGGAGTGAAGATTTTCAAAGAGAAAACTCAATCTTTCTTATAGAAAAACAATACTCAGTGCATTGCAAATTAATTATATTCACAATTTTCTTGGGAGATAACCCATCAAATCTGTAAAGATAAACACTGTGTATGAATACTGAGCCTCAATTAAGCAGTATAAGAACACTTCCCTTCACTGAACGCACTTCACTCTTACAGAGTCACTTCTGACTTTAATTAATTGCCTATTACTCACGCCGGTCCTCATTTCCGGAAATAATGAACACCAGACACCCTGCCTGCTCTTCTTCCCATCCCAGCCATTACGATCCCCATGTAAAACAGCCATGCCCTCCCCACAGCGCCCTTAGGGGCTTCAGGAAACGCCTCCCCACGAGGATTTCCCCCGGCCCGGGGAGCCCCGGCTGCGCGGACCTTCCTCTCCGCCCTGCCTGGAGGATTCCAGCTTCCCTCCGTCCTGCCTGCAGGATTCCAGCTTCCCTCCCTCCCGTCCCGGAGGATTCCAGCTTCCCTCCCTCCCGCCCTCAGAGCTGGGGTGGCCGCACCACCCGCGGCCGTCGGGCCCCGCCACCCGGGCTCCCCCCGCGGGCGGCCCGGCCCGGCCCGGCCCGCTCGGAAGAAGTTTAGTCAGCCGAGCGAGGGGAGCACGGCGGGACAGGGAGAGCTCGCAGCCTCCCGCGGGCCCTGCACTCGCGTACCCGTTGTGCCGGGGGCCGCTCATCCTGGCGCGGCCACGCTGCTTTCGCCGCTCGGCGCCTCCGCGCGGGCGGGCGGGGCCGGGGGCGGGCCGCGGAGCCGAGCGGCACGGCGGGAGCACGGCCCCGGGAGCCCGGCCTCGGGAGCCCGGCCCGCTGCGGGCCCGGGCGCGCTGCCGGTCCCGCTGCCGCGAGCCCCGCGACACCATAAACCGCCCACGTGAATGCCTGCTCAGTTCTCTGACAGATGTTGCTTCTAATGTTATGCTCTGACATAAGCATGCGGGTTTTTGCCCTGCTCGTGCTCTTGAGATAAATTTTATTTATTAAGGCTTGGCATTAACATATTAAAACGTGGGAAAATTGGAGTTTTTATTTGTTCTCTGGATATAAAATTGATGTGGAAATTGAGTTATGGTTTGTTTATTTATTATGGTTTATATACCTCCAGCTGCTGCTAGGTCATAGAAGGATGCACAGGTAGCTGAACATATATACACATATTATATGTATGTCTGTCCCATTACAGTGCAAAATAAGAGGTATGATAATAATTACTCAATGTTGGTATGGTGTGTTCGCGTTCCATGTGTGAGAAGCCGCCTGCCTTGGCTGGCTGGCTGCCACGAGGGCATGCCTTTGCAGAAGCACTCAAATGGGAGCAAGGTACACATGTTCGCTCCAGGGGCTGCGAGGCATCAAGTGAAGACTGCCCAAAGCCAGCCGAACGTGACCAATTCCGTTCCCGCTGGAGGCAGTGACAGGGGCAGTGAACTCAGTGATGGACAAAAGGAAAACACTTGCCTTTGAGAGCATCCCCAAGAGGGGTTTGTGTGTGCAAGCCGTGGGTTCGCACTGCATGTGAGCTGCACCGCTGATCTGAATGCGGTCAGCTGACATGGCTGAGAGAATGGTTTCCTGCAGCCTGGCCAAAAATCTGCCTCCTCATCCACGAGGATGCTTCAGGTTGGAAAACAGATCATTTTTGGGAAACTGGGTACACAGCATCTCAGGAGCTGTCATTATAGTTCCCCCTTACTGACTATATGCCCAGCAAATTGCACAAGTGGATACCTCACTACACCAACATGAGTGCAAGAAGATGGCTAATCCAAGGAACCTGCCATGCTCATGGCTGTACTT